TTTTTACACTTTGCTTTTATGTGCTAAGGTTTTTTCCTTATCATTTCTCATAAGTGGGCTTGATTTTTTAAATGCTGATATAAGAGGAAATAAGGTAATTTATTTCACCAGATCTATATTAATGAGACTTTATATTTTTCCTAGTTTTGCTATATTCTTACACATTTGTGCAAGCATATTCTTATTAATTTGCTTTTAGTTGTTGAAAATACTGCTTTTGTTGATCTATCCCTTCATAACCTTCTTGATATTGTAATGTTTTTCTGTGAACTGTTTTTTCAAGATTTTACCCAGTTTACTTGTTAATTTGTGTTTGTCTTTCCATATTGATTTGTGTAAATTCTTAAATATTAAGAAAATAGTCTTTGCTTTGACATTTAATTTTCCTTGTGTTTAATTTTTATTTCTCTTAAGGAATTTATTTTAATAGATTATTGAAATTTATTTCAATAAATACATGTTTTTAATTTTTATCACTAGAGAGAGGCTGAATATGTTCCTTTGGTGGAACATGCTCATTTTTAGAAGTTCATTTTAAGATAGTCCATCTTCTTTTTTGCTATTCTAAATGGAATATTTTCTCCAAATTCTTTTCTAATTGTTGCTATTTCTGATGGGTATTGAGTTTTGAATATTGACTTCATCTTGTTTTCTATTGTTTGACTAACTGTAAAAATTTTACATCAGGGGCTGGGGATTTAGCTCAGCAGTGCCTGCCTGGCAAGCGCGAGGTCGTGAGTTCAGTTCCCGGTACTGGAAAAAAAAAAACAAAACAAATTTACATCAAGTGGTGATAACTGGTACTCCAACCTATCTGCAGTTGACTAGCAGTGTTTCTGATGTTTAAGCATTAAGCATATGAGCCGTGATACTGACATTTATAAATCCTATTACAAATATTTATTTTTTTACATATACAGAGTTATATCAGTAATAACTGTTTAATTTTGCTAAATTCTAGAAACTTTTCAAGGTGTTATAGTTCTTGCACATTAGTCTATTAATATGGTAAATTATATTGATAAAATTCCTATTTTTTTGTTTTTGTGTTTTTGAGACAGGGTTTTGCTATGCAGTTCAGGTTGGCCTTGACTTCACTTTGTAGCCCAGACTGGCTTCAAACTCACAGCGATCCTCCTGCCTCAGCCTCTGTAGTACTGGATTTACAGGCATGTGCCACCATACCTGGCAAATTTCCTAATTTTGAACCACACTAGCACTTCATGGATGACGTTCTTTTTGGTTATAGGCCATGATTCCCCATTAGATTCTCTTTTCAAATGTTTTATTCATGAATTTGATATCAAGTAGGTTTTAGTGACATTAGAATGTGTTTTTCCACCAAATTTTATTAGGAAAAATTTCAGGCATATATAGAAATTGAAAAAACAACATAACTGAATACTGTATGTCTTCTTCCTAGATTTAGTAATTACTTACCTTTTGCCACTTTTGATCTATCATGTATCTATGTAAGTATATATGATATCTATCTATCTATCATCTAGCTAGCTATCATTTATCATCTATCACTCAATCTGTCTTTTGTCATCTATCTATCTGTCTATCTATAATTTATCTACTCATCCATCCAACTAGTTAACTGTATGTGTTGAAAATGAGTTACAGATGTCACAATACTAGCTTACCTCTAAATACTTTACCGTGGCCCTCCTAAAATTAAGGATCTTGTTTATAACACCATCTCAGTACCACATCTGTAATTATAATTTCTAAATAGTATCTAGTATCTAATACATATTCAAATTTTGTATAGCTTCAAGAACATCTTTTGTAGTTGTTTTGCTCTTGAACTGGTCAAGTTTCACCCAATGTGTTTATTTTTCTATTTCTTTGGTCTTTTTATTTTAGAACACTTTTCATGGTATTGACTTTTTAAAGAGTTCATCTTAGTTGTCTTATAGAATTCCAGTGTTCTGAGTTTATCTCTATTGCCGTTTAATTTGTTGATTTCCCTCGTGTAATTCCTGGAAACTCATCAGTAAGGTGTGAGACCCGATTAGAATTGGATTGAACATTTTTGGCAGGAACGTGTCAAAGTGGTACCACATGCTTTGTAGGGTATTACCTCTGGAAGCCCATGATGTTAGCTTGACTTGGTATTACTAGTGCTAAGTTTGACCTCTTGTGCATTCTGCTGTATAATCCAGGCTTCCTTGTAAGAAATCTTCAAATGGAATGTTGACAAGGTATAGCTACCCTACTTTGCGAAAATCTTTCATGACATCTCTTGAGCATGAATGGATGAACCTAGCTTGACAGAGTCCTTACACTGGTGGGTTGTAAATAGTGATTTTCTAAGTTACACATACTTTCGTATTAAAAAAAAGAGTGATGTTTTCTTTCATTTTCCCCTCTGTACTCAGGGATTTTTAGTTATTGAATATTTTGTAACAGGAGACAATATTTTTTGGAAGGGAGACTTCAAATTTCCAAAATGTAGAGAATGAACATTTTGACTCCCTAATTCAACTGAATTTTTTTTTTTTTTTAATCTTTTTGATACAGGGTATCGCTTTGCAGTTCAGGCTGGCCTTGAGCTCACGTTGTAGCCCAGGCTGGCCTTGAACTCACAATGATCCTCCTGCCTCAACCTCCCAAGTATTGGGATTACGGGCATGGGCCACCACACCCTGCCTCAACTGAATTTTAAATATTGCCTTGATTTGTAGAACAACAAGATGCCCCAGCCTCACTTTGAATTTTCCCTCCCCTGGACCTGAAATCTTCTGTTTTTCTCCCTACCCATGGCTGTCCAGTTCTTTTCAGTGGGTCTTGTGTGTGTGTTAGGATACATGTCAACATGCAGCCAGGTAATTGACAACCTTGTCTTAGCCTTTACTTCCTGTGTGCAGAACTCCCAAATTAATCAGAAGTGAGAGTGTAGGGCCTTCTTGGATCTTTTCTGAGTGTTCACACTGCCCTAGACTCATGTGGCCTTCTAGATGCCCAGGAAAATGTTGTCACCCTTCAAAACTGCCTGTGGACATCTCATTCCCAGGTTTTCCTTTTAAACTTCTTGGTTAGCATATTGTTTTCTCCAACTGTTACCCATTACCTCATGCAGCCTCAACGTGAAACAACTACCTCTGATTGTTTTGGTCAAGTGCCCCGAGGGAAAGGCAGTTTGCACTGGGCAAGCTCACAGTTAGGTAAAATAAAGGCAGCTTTGTGAGTGAGGCCTTCCAGGGAGCAGTGTACAGGTCCAATAACGACAGTTGGGAATTGGGCTCCGGAGGAGCTCCACACCCTTCCCAGCTCCCGCAGCTTCTGGCAAGCTGCTATTTTTCACTGTGATGATGGGCTCTTGTTTTTAAGGTTACTATGGAGGTGGAGCCTGGGGGAGACAGGAATAAGCAAGTCAATATGCTACTAAACTTACTGCTCTTATTGTGTATTTTTCTTGAATAATTGCTGCCCAGACTGTTGCAAGCTTTTGATAAATTTCCAGAGTTTTGAAAATGTTGATTCTGACAATTTTTGCAAATGTTTTCTTTGCTTTTATGGAGGAGAAAAGTGTGTGTGTGGGGGGGAGGTGGTACTGAGACCATCACCACCATCCCACTTCTGGACATCTTTCATCTTGCAAAACAGAAATTCTGTGCCTACTAAAAGATAATACTTATTTCCCTCTTCCCCAATCCTCTGATAACAGTGATTTGACTTTGTTTCTGTGAACACGACTGTTCTAGGTACCTCACGTAAGTGGACTCATACTGCATTTTCCCTTTTGCAACCCACTTATTTCACTTAGTATCTTCATGACTAATCCATGCTACGGCATGTGTCAGAATTCCTTCCTTTTTAAGGCTGAATAGTAGGTATATACTTTGTGATATTTAGCATTCATATGTGGATGGAAAGACACTTGGATTGATTCTCCATTTTGGTTCGTGTGAATAATGTGCTTATAACCACAGAAAAAAAAAAA